AATACAATACAACAGTAATCATTATATTGCAATAACTTTTAAATACAACAAAAAATCTCTTTTAATATTATTTTTTTCACTTTTATTAAAATAAATGTTTTTTTTTTACAAATAACAAAGTATAAATTGCAACAAGGTTTGCCAAAAAAAAATAAACTCGGTAGGGGATTGATTGAAATAATCAGAGGTTGGGAAATCAAATTTCATATAGTTCCTACCCCTAATATTCTTAAATTTAAGGATGCATTCACAAGAACCTGATAAATTGACGTCCAATATTATACTTAATTGTAGTGTGGTGACTTCCTCATACAATTAAATAAAACACACTTCAGTGCATCTAACGAATATACACCGAACTACTAATCCTGCATCGCGCTATAAGAGTTCTCGTACCGATTAGTATAGTAATATATAAGAAGAAGATAATATAAGACAAGTTGGCATCAGGAAAGCGTCTGGTTTTAAGAGAAACAGCTAAAACTCTATGTAATGTCACATTACACTAACCTTAAATAAAATGTTAGTTATTTAAAGGTTAGGAAAGTAATGATTACTAAAGTCAAAATTTGTAAATGCATCCTTATAAAATATAATTACACAATATCAGAACAATAAAGAAATGAGTATAGATAGATATATATTTGATCAAAGTCAAAAATATAAGTACATTTGTTTTTAGCTGAGTGTTACTCACTACATGTAAGCACAATACTTTTTTTTTTACAAAAGCAAAAACTACAGAGATTCTAAGTCGTTCGACCGGACAATCGACATTCACACATCCCTCTATTTGGTGTTTTAGAAACCTTGAAACTGGCAGTACATAACAATTTCTTACAATCGCTATCATTGAAAGAAAACTTACACATTATAACGCTTAAGATTGCATATAAATAATTACATAAAATTATACAACGTCTTAAAATTCACTATCAAACGCTCGTAATGTATGTAAAATTGTTTATAAAGCAATGACACTAGTAGCTAGCTATTAAGATTTAGGATTGTAATGATACCGTTAATTAATATAAAAGAAAAAAATACAATTTTCTATTTTTAAATGACTAGGAAATAATTACTAAACTTATAATGGCCTACTAGATATAACATTTAAATTGTAAAAACAATAAATACTTTGTAATGTTTTTTTTTTTTTGGATTATAGTAATTAATGTTAATCTACTGAATAAATGATTCGGTTTTAAAGCATTACAATCCTATTAAAAAGGATTTAAGCAGCTACAAAATATTATTTAATAAATTTTCTAGTGATCTAGCATTTTATTATAAAAAAAAGTAACTAATATCATAGCGAGTGTTAAAAAAGGTTCAAATTTATAATTAAGTATCTAAGTGATATGCAATATACTTTAGGCAGGCTCATTTTGACTAAAAAATAATTAATTACACTACATGCAGCCGTTTAAATATTATGTTAGTATTTTTTTATAAATAAATTCAATAAAAAATCATTTTTATTTAATTTTTTGCAAAAAGAAATAATTAAAATACTAAAATTAATAAAACGGCTACGTGTTAGTTTCAAGCTACCGCAAAAGAAGTAACTATAAAAGTTGCATATACAACATATACATATAAATTATATTATATATAAAATAATTACAACTATTTAAAAATCATAGATGGCTAAAACAATGCCTTTTGCAATTTATATCACATTATTATAGAAATGATCGTGCCTTTGGCATAATAATTCATATAGACCCCTCCCCCTACTCACGGTCCATCCTAAAATTAAAAAGAAAATCCAATCATAGTCTCACTAATGTCCTCTTCCAGTACCAGTATGTAACAATTTCTATCATTTTAGTCTTATGAATACTTACTAAATATGAAGTTAAAATGTGTGAACAAGCTTCTTATAATATAATAATAAAAAGTATTAGTTAAACTTTTAGTTTTAAATTCTATGTATAGATTTCAAGGTTTTTTTTTAATATTTCTTATAATAATAGTAATTTATCTAATTATATCTAGTTCTAGTGCACTATCTTTTAGCTGTGGTCAATTACTAAGCCTGCCTTACTAAGTGTGCCTTTTTTACTTTCAGTAATAATATGTATCATTTATTGCTTTCGTTTATCTGTAAAAAAAATCTTACATGTGAAAGAAATCATTTAAAAAAAACATATTTTTAATATATGTCATATTTTTCCATTCTTATTATTTTATCTAATTGACATTTTCACTATCGAAAAATAATAAATAAATAATTTACAAAAAAATAAGTCGAGTTTTTTTTTTCAATTAAATACTTTTAGTATTTATGTGATAAGTTAGAACAATAAAAGAAGCACAGTTAACGGCGGCACTAACAAGCTTCTATATTAACTGTATTGTGACGATCGCGTGGACATTAAAATACACTTTCTTTACAAATCGGGAGATTATTTTACCACAAAAATATTATTGCTTTCAGAGGTTCCGAGTTACTGTGAAAAATAGCTTTTTAAATGTAGTTTTTGTTCATAACTCCACCCGTATTTGTAATTTGAACAATATTATCAGCGCTCCTGAAGCCATCGTGCACGCTATCTAAAAATATAGGTATACGCATGACCACTAGCTAAACGAACTATTTGTTCGAAAATTAAAACAGAAATGACAGAATAACTTTTATGGAAACTTAATACATCAAAACTTTTGGCGCAATACATCTCGAAATACTGGTATCGTACCCGCCATTACTACATATACATATATAAATATAACATCTTAAAATTAGCAATCCAAAAATATGAAATATACGTGTTGTATTAGTGCGCCCCCGGCCGCCCCACTCCGCGCTCGAAGCGCTGTGACCAACGCACCGCAGTACTGGTTGTGCAGATACTAGCGATATTTGCGACTTTTGCCGTTCGCCACCGGAGGGTGCAAAAGCCGCCACAATTGGACGGTTTTTCTCAATCCTCGTCGCGTGTTATATTTTCCTCTAATCGAAAAAAAAATTGGTACATTCCCAACAAAACTCCGCTCAATATTGAACGAGAAAAAAATTGAACTTTTGCTGTGAATTCACCAACGCTTTTTACCTACAAATTTTCAAATCTGGGCCTCTCAAAGTATAAATAAACAGGAATATATCGGAATGTTACGAACATTTGGAATGAAGATTTTCACAATATTACAACTTTAAAAGAAATTATTTCGAAGTATCACTAAAGATCATAAAACTAAATGTTAAACAAAGAAGTTAAACGAGACAGTTGAAGAAAAGTCGTTAACTCAAAGTACCAGGGCCCTGCTCAAGCAAAGCGTCCTTAATCGTTTCGAAACTTTTGCTTTATAAAAATACGAATCGAAAATATCTCGACTGTAGCACGTCTTCTTACTGTTAAGCTATGATTATTCTATTATTTCTTATACTATAAAACTTTACTATATTAACTACGTTAAAATATCAGAGAATTCAGAAAAAGGGAATATTTAGGTTTTTATTTTCTATATTAGTGGTGCACAACCTTATTTCTTCATAAACGCTAGGTAAGTATGGCGTTTAGCATTAAATAACGAGGATCTAAAACGAAAGTCTCTATCTAAAGAACTAATAGTAGATGTAGTAGTCGATGAGAATTCATATAAGGATCCGTAATTATTCGGAATAGGAACCAGGGGAGGAGGAACATAAACTCAACGACGTAGTCGTGGAACTACAAGAAGAAAGAGAAACTCGAGAAGGCGCATTTAAATAAGTTAAAGTAAAATATTAGTACAAGCGGTCGAAGGTTTATTTCATAAGATATGATCTAATCTAAAGGGAGTCTCATAAATCGTAGATCATGTTCGATGATATCTAAGGCTTCATATTCACTGCATAGACTAAAAGAATTAAAACTATTTAGGCTGGAATAAAACCTATTGTAAACTTTCGACCGAAACTAACTGCGTAATTACTTTTATTTCTCTTAAATACGATAAAATCTCAAAATACTCACAGCTCGTCGGGTTTATTGTATTATACGCTAAGTGCATCTACTTTATAAGAACAGTGGCTTTTAATATTTTGAATTTGTACTTAACCTACATATTTTAAACTCCATCGTTGAAATCATCCATAGAATAGAATTTAAGTTTGAAACGATCTAAATTTTGGAACAGATAAACAACAGAAAGACCACATTAACGTTCGTTTCCAAATCGTTTGCGATTGTCGTGAATCGCAAAAGTCAAATATGTGTTACGCATCTTTTTTTAAGATTTTACATGAAATTCCAAACTATCGCGTCATCACGAAAATTCACCAGCCAATACGTTTGATGATCTAGGTTTAATTACTTTACATCCAATTTAGAGTTTTCAAAAATATTATTCCAATAAATGTTCTAAACGAATATCTCAAAAATACGTTATGAAAATATAATACAAATACGATAAAATTTATACTAAATATAACCCTGTCTATGACCTGAAGAGTTTAAAATAAAGAATTAATCGAAATCTAAACTCTGAACAAGTCATTTCTAAGGAAAATAAATAAACAAATGAGTCATACGTCCCCAGAATTTACCGATAATTGTTTGCGTAGATCTAACTGCACATATTCATTTGATATTTTGAAAGATAATCGATAAATCAGCTCAATCTGATCAGTAAGATTAATAATCAGAAACGTTATTATAGATAAACTGTAACGCGGTGTTAATACTATAATTCTAAACCACGGACCGAGATAGTCAAAACTTCGTATTCACTAATAAATACGATTATAAAAAGAACAGATAAAACATATCTAATAGACAAGGCTTGAGTACGTTCACAACTCCGATAAGAAACCTGTTTCGTAAAAGTAGCTTAGTTATATCAGACAGTAGGTATATTTGATAATATGAAAGGCAGTTGGTGTTAATGCGTAATATAAACTACTCTTTACAAAATAACACTTAACAGAACAAATGAAAACGAAAACGACTATATTAAAACAAAATGAATTGTTGAACGCATCGTTCAAGTGGTTGGTGTTTGTTAAACAATTGCCGTCATATTTTGAACAGAAGCTCGAGCAGAAGGTCGTCGTCGACGTTCATTGGCGATTCCGGTGCAAGATAATCGACGATCCTATAAAACAAACACTTAAATTAATTACACTAAACTATATAGATTTTTTTTTCCGTTATTTCAACTGTCACAATCGCAAGTCTTAAGAATTGTGGGGTTTTTTTGTACGTTTACTGCACTTTTTGTTGCATCGGACAATCAAAGCAAGGGTGTTAATTTTTATCCAACTGCGCTAGAAGGACGGTTATGTTTTTGATATGTATGTGTTCTATGGCACGCTCTGTGGCCTAAACAAGTTGATGGATTAGGGCATTAAGAGGTAATGAAAATTGTGGGTTTGTAAACTTTAAGTATACATTTAAACGCAGTCCGGTTTCTTCTTTAATAAATAGCTTATTAATGTTCGGTTTGTTACTAAATAGAGCTGTAAGGCTTTTATCAGAAGCTTTATCGTTATCGTTATTACCTTACAAACTCGAAATATTGAAGATACATCATAACTATTGGTTTTACGGTACTTAATGTCATTAGTACTGGACTTAATCTCACCTATTGGGCATGGTTGGTGTATTGGTGATGCGCTGCGATGAGTTTCGGCGGGCATCCGGCGATAGCCGGACCACCCTCACGTTTTCGGCTTGTGCGCTCTGCAACCTGACACAAATTTAATAAAAGTATTACTTAATACAGTCACCAATTCTGTAGGTACTTTTTCACTTGTCATTCAGACAATCTAATTCTTGCCAATTTCAAATGAAATAAAAATATTGTACAAAGTAATCAAAGTAATGTAACAATAAAATTGTATAAAATATTTATGTTAATCCTTAAAGAACTGAAGAAAGTGTAGATTTGCTACAAAGTTATACATTCCTATAAGAACTTACGTTAGTCGTGAATTCCTCCCAAGTGCTAAGCAGCGTGAAAATACAATAGCAAATATTTAGATGTAAGCGACAACAGATAAATTTCTCTATTCAGATATAATTCTAAGTTCTTATTTTCTTTTAGTAAAGAACGGTAAATTTTTGTAAAGAATAAAAACAAGTTCAACAAAGATCTTATCACAAAGAAATATAGCATACATAACCAACAACTCTAAGACAGACTTAAAACTTTTCTAAATGTAAACCCTAAAACGTTCCCAACCTGCATAAACAAGCTTGAACACAAACCCAGCTTTAATTTAATATAACAACAATTCTAAAAGTTTAACGAAATCTGGCGCTAAAGATTCCCTTATCAAAATCAAGAAACAAACTTAGCTACAGTTGATTTATCTATTCACCACAGATACTAAGTTTCACGAAAAGCTAAAATGTTTCATTCATAAAGTAACAAACTGAAGCCGGCTTAGATTACTTCGGAGGGGATCGGCTACAAGTCGGTACCCCAAAATTAATTTAGCATTAATGTGAACCGTGCCAACGAATAAGGGACGATCTTAATTCTCTAGAATATTCGGATCCTCTTTTGCACTCATTAAATTCGAATAAAAAATAATTGAGTATATTTTAAAAGAAAAAAGGAATACTAAAAGCGTTCATTTTTCTCTTTTATATCGAATAACTAGTCCACTACCCCGCATATACGTGAGCTATGTCGGTATACTAATCATAAATTCAACATATTAATGTGTATTATTATAGTTGAAAATACGTGTTGAAGGAATTCAAAGATTATCAGAAATAAATATATTACGTGGGTGTTTGGAATACCGGTTTGTTTCTTTATTCGGAACTGTTTTGATTGAGCCATACATATTATTTACGTACGGGTAAGGCAGTGAAAACCATATTTACATACTTATTCATATCTTAGCGGCTGAATTACACACGATTACAGCTAATAAGTCGAGACACTATAATGTTGTGTTCTCTCGAACAAGAAAGAATATTTAATAATAAAGCTCAACATATGCTGAAATATCGAAAGTCAAAATCTTAATTTTAAGATTGCTATTAGTGCATTATAGTGAATCTGCAATAAACCTAATTTTCATTTTTTCTACTTGGGATATTTTGGAAAATAAATTCAACTTCTGATCAGCGTAATTTGTTTTAAAGTTCATTCATTCATCTGTTAGTAGCAAAATAGGAACAAACTGCAGTCTGCTGTGCATTGCGCATGTTAAAATTCTGTGACGTTTAACTTTATTGCATATGAGTTATATTGATTTATTAAAACCTCTTGAGGTGAAATGTCTAGAATAAGGGGTAAGATTTCGAAGGTTTATTTCAAAAAATAAATTAAAGACTCGATAACGTGAGTAACATATTTTTATTCATCTTTATACGTGAGAACTAAAGAGTTTCTTGTTTCTTGAAACTACGTACCTTTGTACTTTTGATGAAGGAGAAGTCTGAATTTCTTGATTTTCTTAAAATTGAGGATGTGTGGTATTCTTATATAAAAGCGACAAGAGCCAATACTATAAGATATCATAGAAAGCGTTGTGCGAAATACCTTAACATGCAATATATAATATAAATATTCAATCAGAAAACCAGTACACACATATATTGAACTGACACGGTATGAAATGAACAGTTGAACAATATACCCTGATCAATGAAATTTAACAAGACAAGAGATCACCTTTACATTAAAGCAGTATACTAAAACCTCTTTTTTATGACATACGAGCAGACGAGTCATCTGATGGTAAGAGACTACTGTGGCCCATTACACTTCAAGTCAAGAGTAACAAGTGCGCTGCCACCCTTTGAATCCCCCTCCCCCAGAATTAGGATAGGGTAAGGGCTCAAGCCTGAAGGGCTTAAATTCAAATCACCTCACTCACTGAAAAAGCAACGAAATTGCTTAACAGCGGTTTTCTGTGTTTCGTATCACTCCGATCGATATGCCGATTACCAATGCTGATCTCTCCCACGGAAATATTTTCTCTGAGATACGATTTTTTTTAAATGTTTCGTCTATTTATATAAGATATAAGATAAACAATTCCGTAATGTGGATACAAGCGGAATAAATACATTAAATTACATTTATTATTTGGTTAAGGCCGATTAGATCGGCTGACGCACTTTACTTATTCAATTTTGGTTCTGTAATCTTTTTCCTGTTAGGAATATTACGAGAGGAATCTTTTTGATTTAGGACATCCCTATTACTGTCAAAGAAAGTGACGAAACAGAAATAAACTTGCTCTCCCTCCTTATTTCTGTTTCGTTACTTTGTTTAAACTACTAGGTCTAGATAAATATATTAGTTAAGTATCCCCATCACTTGGATAATTGGCGCTCCACTACTGTGTGCTTTTCAAGACACTTGCCTCGTCCACACAATCAATCCGTGGAACAAGTTATCGTCTGCGGTATTTCCAGAACGATACGACCTTCAAACCTTCAAGAAAAGGCCGGCAACGCGTTTGTGACTCCTGAGTTACAGGCGTTCATGGTCGGCGGTAGTGACTTTCCATCAGGTGACCCGTCTGCTCGTTTGCCCCCTCTTCCATAAAAAGTAGATGAATTTGAAATAAATTAATCATGAGATTCATTGCGATACAACACTGATATATGCGATAAGTAGACACATCTATTTTGAACCAATAAAGAATAATCTAAAGACGATAAGCCCCCGGAAGCTGAAACTAGTCTTACTTAGGTCAGAACTGGCTGCGTAGCTTTCACGTACTGACTAGCTCTGAGTCTCTAGCTAATGAATGCTGGTATGTTCGAATACGAAGTTTCTATTAATTCAATAGGTTTAGATGTATGTACTGTGCAATAGAACGGTATTTAAACAAGCGTTTAAATCAATAATCAAAGACGTATTAGTTTATTATTTGTTGTCGTTAAAAATAGCCTGTAAGGACAATACAATATATCTTATATATAAAATTCTCGTGTCACAATGTTCGTTCCCGTACTCCTCCGAAACGGCTTGATCGATTCTCATGAAATTTTGTGTGCACATCGGGTAGGTCTGAGAATCGGCCAACATCTATTTTTCATACCCCTAAATGGTAAGGGTGACCCATCCCTAATTTTTTTTTGTTTTGCAATACAACGTTTGCCGGGTCAGCTAGTAGTGCATAAGTAACACCAGGTAGAGCGAAATGTTTGCTACGGTACACAACACTCAAGGTCACTAGTGAAAAGCTTATGTTTACGTCAAACAAAAATATGATTAGTAGTAACTTAAGTAACTTATTTCTTACAAAGTATGTTTGTGTCTTTACGAAATATGTTGATCTTGAGGCTCTTACTGCGTTGAAAAATTAAGACGAACATTTAGATTAGAGCGATGTTTACTGTTTTATTGATGTAGTAGTATAGATAGTTCAAAGTGTGGCAGTGACGCGGCAGTCAGACGACGACTGCCACACGAATGAAAGTTGTATATTTACAAGCCCACGCACACATAGGGCCGCGTGCACAACTGAGTTGAACTATCTATAATATAGTGATATGGACGTATATATAATTTATACATTAGATCACCTGAGTCGTAGTTAACTGAAAGCCGACTCAAACCTAGCATGGTAAGAGACTGGAAGGCGGATTTATATATTTATGTATTCTCACTTATGGTGACTTAAATTTATGTGACGAAATTAATTGTTTAAGTTTACTATTTTACTTGCTTACATAATTATTTTAACAAGTAACTTGAGCCTAAACGGTTTTAAATGGTTAGCCAACATTGTTATGTAAAACATTTTTAACAAAAAAAAAACAACAATTAACCTATGCTAAATGAGCAAGCGTTTTTAATACTCTTCCCAGTCTTTCAAAACCTCTCCTAACTAAACGTCTATTTTTACAAAATCTTTCCTTTTTTCTTTGGTTGCTTTCTGCATGAAACTCAATCATTCACATTCCTACTATATCATATTGTAGTAAATGTGGTGATTTCTAGATACAGTGAAAACTAAAACATACTACAGCGACATCTAACGAAGACGCACCGAACTACGAAGTAACTGCTCATCCTATAGCGCGATATGAATAATTCGCACGCCGATTTACATATATACAACTTTCCAACAACAACTGTTGGGCCGCGGCCCGCTAGACATGATCAAATCGCCTGGTTAGAGGATCCTCCCTTTGTGTTGTAGGGACATGACACCCGTTCCTCCACAGTAGACAAATAATACAAAATGCCCACGGGTGTTAGGAATCAGATACTAGAAGTCCTAATCAGGCATCACTAAAATACAGTGTGACCGGAACGAGTAAAACCGTGTCTTAAATATATGAGTACTGTCCACAAAAGTTTTTTAAATAATATACCATCATATCACACATGTTACACCATAGGAGCTTTTCCAAAAAAAACAATAGCAAAAACATTACATAGAATGAATTTAAAGAATAAAAATAAAGAAAATATTACTTACTTGATCTTAGACTGCCTCATGAATTGTTGAATCTTCCTAGCCGCTTGATTTTGACGTCTTTGTGAGTATGTCCTTCTGTATATGAACACATTATATTTTATTTCATGCTCTAAGCAGTTAAAAAGTAAATTATAAGAACTATAATACTTAAGAAACTGAAATTCTCCTGGGATCTTAGATCAAAAATGTTGTTGATATTTAAGAGTATATAAAGCAAATAAATTATTTTAAGGTTTTTATTTTCAGTAGTTGTATACTTGTCTCCTTGGTGACCTCACAACATAGCCTGCATTTTTAACACTTTATTAAATTGATTTTTATTCGTAGCGAAATAAATATTTGGCCCTTAGAGTGTGGTCTCAAAAATATATTTGTTTTGACTATCTGACAATGAAGCCAAGGTCCTGAAGTTCATATTTGGGTACGTATATATGTTTTTGTTTTTTTTTTATAAAAAAAACCTAATCCTAATTAAAAATACTGATTGCTAGTTACCTCAAAATTTTATCATTTAGCATCATTTTGAGTTCGGGTTGCTATTAATTGAAAAGCGAAACTTTTTTATAACCTAACCTACTATTCTGGTCAAATGTCATTTCTGATAGCGATTTATTTTCTTGTGGGGTCGCAGTTCTAACCTAAGTCACTTTCCTGAAAGCAGTTTGTTTCGTACTTGTTTCACCTTAATCCTTAAACAATAGGCCTACTGACCACACGCCATAACGCTGCCAGTGACACGCTGGCCAGAAGGGTTGCTAAACTGGTTATTTTGTTTTATGTGTGAGTACTACGTTTGCACGCTGTGGTTAATTTACTGAGCAATCAGTATATTTAATATGAAAATAATATATTTTCGTACACAGGACAACTTTTTTGTCGTGCAAATATTTTAGTACTAGTTTTGTTTAAGATTAAACAGGTTGACGGGTAATAATTTTTAAAACAATCAGATGTACTTTAAAAGCAGTATTGTTTATTTCAGCGTAGCCATATTGACTGCACGGATGGCGTAGTGGTTTAAGCGGTCGCCACGCCGCTTCCTATTACGCCGAGTGTTGTGGGTTCGCACCCCACATGGGACAACACTTTGTGTGATCCACAAATTGTTGTTCTGAGTCTGGGTGTACTTTGTGTCCGTTTCATGTATGTTTGTAAAGTTCCCCGCGATACAGGATTTATTCCTAGTGCGAGAGTTGTCTTTAAAAAAAAAACAACAAAAAAAGTTAGTTTTTTAGTTATATTTTCATGTCACTAGAATAGTAAGGCATCAAATAGACACGATCTTCAGTAATTAAAGAATTCGACTAAAAATAGACAGAGACGATTTTATGTAACCTTACAGTTTTTAGCCTTGAAGTTACTGCTTCATAAGTTAAAGAGTGGCCTATAGAATAATTATAATAATTATTGATTGCGAATCTTAGTTACCTATACAAAGTAGTGATTAAAAATTACAGTTAGTACACAGTATATTGTTCTCCTATCTTAGTATATCTAACACCAATATAATATGTCGTAGCTTATCAAGAAACTTAACTATGTCTCTTAAATATACTGTTTATGTTTTAATATACCAGACTGTGGGGTCAATTTTTGATTTAAATAATATTTCTAAAAGTTTCAAAGGTACATAAACTCAATAAACGCAGGTTGTTTTATCATAATAATATACTCAGAACATCAGAGAACTGTATTAATCTTCTAACCAACTGTTATTAACTTACCAATTCCGAAACTAAAACTTAGTTATCTAAGCGATGACGACGTTAATTCTAGAACTAATTTCATTTTTGTTTTTAAGATGAAATGTGACTCACCTGATAGGTGTGTTAGCCATTCTGCGAGCTCGCATGGAACGATAGCCACGCTGTATTACCGTTGCCGCCGCGTGCATTTGTTTCAAATACGCAAACTGTGGAAAAGAGCAATAATTAACTTTGCTAGCATGGCACTATAGTCCATCAACGTCGTGCGCGACCGTCCTGCGGGGTGACAGACGGTGGCGGGGACGAGGTACTCAAGATGTCAGCGGGTAGCGGATGGTGTAGCGGGGAAGGGAAACGCTTCTCTTCGTGTGTAGCCGTGTGCTAGAATGACGCGCTACCTCGCCCCCGCCACTGTCTGTCACCCCGCTGGACGGTCGCGCACGAGATTGCCGGGTTATAGTCATTGATATAATACTTACATAGATGAGTAATTACCGCCTAAAATCGTTGCTACTGCACATCTGTCCACAGGCATATGCGTAGCAAACGTCAATTCAGTGTTCAATGTGGCGTCAACCGAGTTGAACATAGCGACACATGACAGTAACAATCGCCAAAATGGGTAAATGCGTAGTGAAAGAATGCGATTCAAGGTCAAAAAACCATAGTAAATCATGCGGAATTACTTGTCACGTGTAAGTTTATGGTTTTTGTATTGATAATATCGTAAATAAGGCTATAATTGAAATAAAACATTGATAATTGTAATTTAGAATCAGTGTTACCATTAAAAAATCATTTTTGTTTTCCCACATTAGTGGGAGAATTTATAATTTTTGAAATAATATGCTTTCTACTGTTTTTAAACATTTTGTCAATAATAATAAAATATAGGAAGAACGGTAGTTGTTAGGGCTGAATCGATCACTTTTTTTAGGGACCCGTTGAACGTTCACCTTCTGCCAAACTCGCAGTGCTGGAGACTTTTGTATTTTATATTTATTTATTTTTATATAATTAATTAATTCATTCATTCATTTTTCTTAATTAATTATCAAATATAAATAACAATTGTACAAAAAATATATAAATATATATAAAATAAAAAAGTAAATAAATATAAATAAAAAAATATAAAAAACAAAAAAAAAATATGTATATATTTTTTATATATTTTTTTTTATTTGTATTTTAAAATTTTAAAAGAATTTGCAATACACCCTGGGGATTATTTATTATCAGTACAAGTTGATCATTCACTTTTACTATTAAATGCCATTATTTATACATAGGTGAAAATAAGATAGTATCATGAAAGTAAAATATTCACACAAACTTATAAAAAAGAGTCTAAAAGACAATTGTATACAAAACTGATGCTTCATAGCGGAGTTTGATTTTACACTGAATATAAACCCTTGTAACCAAATATTTTTAGTTTTTTATTATTTATACCTATTCCATTCAATTCGAAATATATTATTTAAAATATTTAAATTAATTTATTTTATTACAAAATTGTTTTAAAAAAAATTGTTTCTTGGTTGTTATGGGTAAAATTTCATACGGTAGTCAACACTGGCCCACCATCGTAAAGTTATGTCTTTGTCTTTGTCTAATCCGAGCGATGGTATTGTTCTTGTCTCGCGTGTAAATGAGACATAAATATGTTTACTTTCAAATGTTTCGTGGTATCAAAGCTACGTCGTCAAAGTTCAAAAGTGGTTACACTTTTTTCGACGTGTGATAATGAGGTTTGCTTCTCTAGTGTTGTTTTAACTCAATGGTTATAGTTATGAGGGAATACGTTGAAAATATATTTTAAATGTTTAGTAATTAAACTTATGAGGGTTTGGTTACTGTTCTCATTTTTATTCGTTTTGTCGAAGCCGCAACGTATCATGAACTGATATAATTTGTAAGTCTAAATTATTATTATTACTAAGTTTTTTTTGTTAAAGTCGACCAAAAATTTCAATGCGTCTAAATATTTTTATATCGATTATAAATCTATTTTCTTCATACCTTAATTTTTACCTTTAGCTTCTGCAAATATGTATAAAACCAATATTGAGTAAAATTTATTCAATTAAAAAAACCGGACAAGTATGAGTCGGACTCGCTCACCGAGGGTTCCGTTCAAATTTGTAGTAGTATTTTTTGTTGCATATATCGAAAACTAAAATAGATCACAAAAATAATTAAAAATCTGTTTAAGCTTGTGCCAATGAAGCCCTTTCATACAATATATCTCACATGACACGGTTAACTCAATTCAAAATTTGGACCGCCGTTCCTTGCATAAAGACCCCGTTTTTTATGATTAAATTACAAATGTATAGTTTTCAGATTTTTTTGCAATACTTGTAGTATAACTTGTAGTTTGAGAGTGTCGAAATATACGTTTTTTTGCGGCCTAAACGGCCGTATCTTTTTTTTACGTTACTTAGAAGTTTGATTTTTAAACAGCTTCAAGAGACTGTACGAGTAGCTGCGGTCTACAGTCTCTTGATTTATATCGTTTTAATTGTAACTCGATACCTCCACGCATGTAAAGGGTCTTGACAGACAGACAGATAGACAGACGGCACTTGGTCCTATAAGAGTGCCGTTTTTTCCTTTTGAGGTACGGAACTCTAAAAATATATTAAAATGGCGAAGCTATCGCGTAGATACAAAAACACAGTCTAATTTATAAGCTTCGCCTTTCTGAAGTTAGTTAAAAATAAAGAAACTTATTGACATGGAAATATTTGCAAATTTTCTGAAGACATTTCTATTCCAAATCCTGATATACGCATTAAGTTAAAATTAACTGGTTGAATTTTAATTAACTGGCAATGAATAACGATCTTTTCAGCTTATTATTTTATTTAGATCAACAAAAAATGAACAGCCGGGTAAACTCAGAAAATTATGGTTTTAACGGTTCTGTATACTGATTAATCTACGATGAAATTTATTAATTTAAGTTAGAAAGATCCATTAATGATGCTTATAATAATACACGTCCGCTTAAATAAATAAAACTTGGCCAGTTGTATTGTTTCACAGATAATATCATTGGTATTTCCATAGTTAAGCATTATTAATGTACTTATTAGTAATATATACAGATATGTGTGCAAACCTGCTTGTATCTTCTGTAGCAGTTCTGTATGGTGATAGCGGCGGCGGCAGCACGGCGCTGCAGCTGGCGCCCGCGGTACTGTCGGTACGCTTTCTGGATCGTGATGGCCGCCGAGTATAGCTCTCGTTGTTCACGATCTAATACAAATATCACAAATGAGTTTTAAACCCAAGCCAGCCTACCAATCAGATAATAATAAAAGTGGCATTGATTTCCAGGCACTCGAAATTTATCTGCTTTACTTTACGGTTTTACTTTTTATACAATCCAGGCCTCAATAGAAATAAAGTTACCAAAATATTCTTTACATTTTCTGATACCAGTCTGGTAGTCAATCATTGCTTCCGCGAGGTAGAACTATGGAAACAATTTTGAAATTTATGATGTTTATGTTATAGTAATTGTTCTATAAAATACTGGGTAAACAAATAAAATAACGTACTAAGGCTAACCATGTGATTAAACGTACAATTAATTTTAACTGCCCCAAAATGACTTTTAAAAATACAAGAACTTTAATAAGTTACCATTGAGCGTAAGATTGGAGAAGTGTGTCGTTGCATTAAGGAACTCCTGCAATGTAGCGGATGGCGTGGCGGAGTGAGGTGATGCCGGCGGAGGTGACAGGGCCGCTGAGCCGGGTGACACGGACCCCGATGAGCAGGGGGTTGACCCACCACAGTATCTGTGTAAATTAATAAACCTTCGTCAGAATTGTATTTTTTTTTTTATTATTCTTAGAATGGATAATAATAATAGATAGACTAATAATAATAATAAGATTTTAATTAATAGATTTAAATTGAAAAGATTTTGATAAAATATATTTATTATGTATAAAACAAATTTTCACACTTTTCAATTGCGGAAAAAATAGTTCTGATGTTTTTTTTTATTATAGAGCAGATTTTTGGAAGACAACTCTGCTACTTTTAATCTTATGCCAAAAAACATTTCTATCCTAAGTATATATTTTTTTTTTATGTAAGACCAGAACAGTGACTACCGCCGCCCATGAACGCCTTCAACTCAGGAGTCACAAGAAGATATGTATATATCCTAATAAGTAAGTGCATTTATTAGAAGACATACATACCATACAAATATTATCATACAAACGCTGCTATGTCTAGTAGGAATTACCACTATTGGACTAATAAATTCCCGACCCAACTTTGTTAATTATAAAAGTCAACACCAAATGTTTTCAATGTTTTTGGTACTATGTAACTGCATTGAATATAAACTGTGGTAACTATTCAATATCCTTATTAACTACGTTACGTATTCCCGTTCTTATAATGTTGGCAATAAAGTAATTAGGTACGTTTTCAAATAGACATAGATTAAATTACCTATAAGTATTATCGCAGAACTCAAAGCTAAACTCAGTCGTAAAAGTATTAGTATCATCAAGAAGTGGAACCATAAGGGTGTCCTCCTGGCCGTTGTCCAGGCCGCAACCGGATAGTAAGGATGATGTTTCGTTCTAAAAGAAAAAAAAATGGATTACAATCCAACATCGAGGTTATAAATTATTCATTTAATCTAAATAAGCCCAAAATAATAACAATAAAGTTTATTTCTCCTCACAATATACATTTTAACTTCATGGTACAATTCTATTTAGGTTGTGGTTACATAAATTTCTGTATATGTGAGGAACTGGTGTCTGTCTTAGGCATATGCCTGTTCTTCAGATCACCAGGTTCCCATCCCGCGACAATTAGAATACAACATTTATCATTTTCACATTGAAAACACAGCTAAGATGCGGTACCACGCAACAACATGGTTCAGCAAGGTAAGTAAAGAGAACTTTTTTTTTCTTTGCTTACAATTTGTGCATAAATGCATAAATGTGTGTGTGTATGTGTGACTCTCTCTCTCTCTCCCTCTCTTTCTGTGTGTATGTGTGTGTGTGTGGGTGTGTGTGTTTGTAATATCCATGTAAAAAGAATGCATACACACCTTTATTCTTTCTGGCATGGCCGCAATAATTTGCTCGGCCAGCGTAAACACACGGTCATCTTGCTCCCCTGAAACATTTTCATGAAGTGGCACTTCATAATATTAAAATGTATAAAAATTAACTGTAATTGTAACCAAGTAATTAGTAATGAAATCATATTCAGTGACAGGATTTAAAAAACTTGGTTTTTTTTACTAAACTAGAGTTTTTCCAATTTGCTTTTCATTACAAATAGCTTAATTACAACTTGTAAAATTTGTAACACAGTCTATGCACTTAAACAATGAACGCCATTTAGAAGTTTACACTTACATTCCTAGATGACATTTTTTTTTAATTTACTGTGAGATTGTTAATGTTTGATTAAATTACCAGAACCATTGTCATTGTTTAACTTAAAACAAAAATGTCATCCAAATATACAATAATGCAGAAAGATTCAAGCGTATAAATTTTCAAAAAAAATGATTTAAAAAATGTCTTCTTTCTGTGACCAAGATAACTTGATTACATTTTGAATTCCTTAAATGTTAAAAAAATAAACAAATAAATAAAATTATAGAAATGAAATTTTACAGACCTAATTCATATAATACTCGTATAGCTGTATTTATTTTTGTTTATGGAAGTGTTAAGTTATGAAATGATATATTATGAAAAAAATAAACGAATATTAATTAAGATACACGAAATGAGATTTATGTGCTTGATTAGAACCTGTGCCAAAGCACTTACCTTAGTCAAAGGCAATAGTAAACCTCTCTACACATAAAAAGCTTCTTAATAATCATGCAAGCGTAATAGCGACCATGCAGTGTTATATTGTCACGTAATTTTGTTTGAAACAAGTGTATTGACTGAACGACGTAGTCTTGTGTTGAAGTTGGAAATAGGAAGCCAATCAATTTGGTTGTGATACAGTGATAGTGGATAGCCCAATACGAACCACGAAAAGCGACATCGAGGAACAACATCAAGTAAACCAAACCGAACTTTATTACACAATCAAAAAATAATTTATCGACTAACCTTAGGTCGTTTACAAAAACAATGGCAAATAAAATTCGGTCCAATTCAGGATTCTACAAACATCAAACACTCAAGGAACACTCCGCTCGTGTTGGAATACAAAGTACAGAAGAAACTACAAGTGGACTACCAACATACAGTGATACAAGGGCTACAGACTGGCGACAAAGAGGGAGACCGAAGACATACAGACAATATTTGTTAGAAGAAGAGGGAGGCAATGCAACTACTACATATACAACATCGACAAATAGAACGAGCGGAGATCGATGCTGCGTTCGAAGTGGTATAGAACGTTCACGAATCAAAATAAGTGCCAATAAGAAGACAAATACGAAGTAAAAGATTTTAGAAAGAGATCTAGTTAAATTCAAAAATGATAGTAGTTTCTTTTTCTAAATAAAATATACTCAAACCAGAAAAATCTTACTTGAGTAGTTTATAAAACTGAAATATTTTGTAAAAGCTTAAAACATTATGAAGTTTTACTTTTACAACACTTTTAATTTTGTCTTAGATTTATCAATTTTGTGTGGAGTAATGTCTATACCGTTCGAGCGTGCGAGAGCGCTGGGCGTCGGGGCATCGGAGCGTCGGGGGCTTAGTGACTGACCTGGCTGTGTGGTGGGCGAGAGCGGCGGCGTGTGGTCGGATAGCGCCTCCACGTCTATGAGCGGGCTCGCCGCACGCCGCGCCGCCGTCTCGCCTGCGGAACACCCGCTCTACTACTCCGCGATGACACAACGATACTGGTCAAACGAGTAAGCCCACAAGCGATTACTGGGAATACACCTTACTCAAAATAAAATAAACAAATCGGAAGCGTTTATTTCACATTAAAACCAAGTCTCTTAATCAAGGTATTTTTTATGATGTTCTGTCACGGCAGTTGCATCGTATTTACTGAACTTTTATTTATTATGTGCCATAAACTTATAAAATGAAAATGAACTGAAATTAGACTCTTCGGCAAAAGGAGGTCAATTTATGAATATTGTATGACACTTAAACCTAACTTTAGTTCACTACAAAGCTTCAAAATTTGCACAATAATATCTTTCCAGTATTATTGCAATGTAAACTTACCCGTTTGACCAGTTAAATCGCCGAACGAAACCGTCACCATATTAAACAATGCAAAATTCAATGGACCTTCCAAATGTCATCAGCGGCCGTGCCGATATATAAAATAACCAGCAAATGAAAATCGAATCGACTATCAATGAGATGAAAAGGTTAGAAAACTTACAAAGTGCTAAATCCATACGTCTTCCGATTTTAGTATCACCAAAACTATCTTCTGAAGTATCTGAATCTAAAGGCAGAGACATGCTACGTTCCCATCTGAAAATATATTAGCATGAAGTCATTGATGAAACATTCATTTTCTTCTTCTTGACTGCAAGAATTTAATTTTTGTTATGGTACAGAAAAAGTAAAAATAATTTACGAGTTATATTGCATAGTAACTTTGATTATTTCTAGTTTAAGACCAAATTTTAATCAATATTAGGAACTTAATTATTATCTCATAAAAACAAAAGCTAATAGCTACCATCAGAAAGCGATCATGACCCAAGTTTGATTGATGACAATAAATCCATCCAATCCGTTGATGTAGAAAAAATGAAAGAAGTTTTTTAAGGGGCTAATTCCAGTTGTGTTTTATTCAAAATCTCGATTCCTATTCTTTGATGATATTTGCTTTCACTTAAGGAAGATTTTACGTAAATGTCTCACCTAGCAGACAAGCTGCTATCCGACTTGTCAATAGCGGAACTGGATCTAAAAGCGTCCGCCATATTGATACCGGAATCTATCGATGGTCTCTTCACTAGGTTGCTCTCTAAACTGCCAACACGGCTTTTCTGAGACAGGCTGGTAATAAAAATATAAAAGTATTATTAAAAAAAAAAGTATGCATTCACTTTAAACTTCTGATTTATTACAAAATTCCGTTGTAAGGGTGTTGAATATATGTAAATGTATGTATGTCATCATCATCATCAACAGCCCTTAATAGTCCACTGCTGGACATAGGCCTCTCCTTAGAAAGGAGGTTTTGGCCTACTATACCACTCTGGCCAGACGGGTTGGTATAGGGTTTGCTAGGGTCAGCGCCGGGCCCTCACTGCAGTCATCGGAGCGGATCTCTCGCTACCGGCCGTAATTCGCTCCATGGCCGGTAGCGACGGTTGTTTTACCGCGGTCGCAACCTTCTGCGAGGAGGTAATCTCGCAGAAGGAGGCGGCGGAGAAGGCCCGGGAGGACGACCTCCACTCGGACCTGATCCGCCGCCGGCGAACCGGGCGGCGGAGGCGCGCTCACCTGCGCCTCATGCCGCCCTGAGTGTGGCCGCGGGTGGACGGGATGGGTTCTCCCCTCCACCCGCATTAGTTGGCCAGCCGCGAGGGGGCGGACGCCGCCTAAAGAGAGGGTCCACTGAGACGGAGCCCGCGTTAGGAGCAGGCCGGCGCTGGGAAGGGTCCAGAAGGAGATAGCTACCTGGACCCTTCCTAAACTGGAAGCGCAATGAGGGCACACCGTGTGGTTTTAGTCGGTTCGAGTCCGACACACCGCCCCGCCGAACGAGAGCCCCGGCGGGGTGACGGTCCGAGGGGATTTCCACACGTAAAAAAAAAAAAAAAAAATAAAAAAAAAAAAAAAAAAAAAAAAAAAAAAAAGGGTTTGCTAGGGTACGACTGGGCCCTTCGCGCCGATTTCCCCCCCGGGCTGGGTGTAATCTGTTACGCAGACGATACCCTGGTGACAGCCCGGGGGGCAAACTTCCAAGAGGCGGCGCGCCTGGCCACAGGGGGAGTCTCCCTGGTGGTCAGGCGCATTGAGGCGCTGGGCTTACGGGTGGCCCTAGATAAGACGGAGGCCCTGTTATTTCATGGGCCCCGTCGTGGTCCACCCCCTGGCGCCTAAATCGTGGTCAACTCGGTCCTCGTACCGGTTCGGGCCCAGATGAAATATCTGGGCCTGATCCTCGACGGGAGGTGGCTCTTCGACGAGCACTTCCGACAGCTTGCTCCAAAGCTGGTCGGCGCTGCGTCTGCCCTAGGGTGACTTTTGCCCAATATGGGTGGACCCAGCGTCGCGACAAGACGGCTGTACACGGGGGTCGTCCGGTCAATTGCACCGGACTTCCGGACGGAGAGCGGATTTCGCCCTCCGCCCGAGGATGTGCGCGAGTGGCGCGAAGCCGCTCGCCGAGCCACGATGGCTCGTTGGTCGTTCCGGCTGGAGACTCCACGCGCTGGCTTCGCCGCCGTGGAGGCTCTCCAGCCGGTCATCGCCGAGTGGGCAGGGCGGCAGCACGGGACCCTTTCCTTCCGGCTGACGCAGGTGCTTTCCGGGCACGGTTGCTTCTGAAAGTACCTGCACTCGGTCGCTAGGAGGGAACTGAGTCCCGCCTGCCACCACTGCGACTGCAGTGAGGACTCGGCCCAGCACACGCTGGCGGTCTGCCCCGCATGGGCGACGCAGCGCCGGGCCCTCACTGCAGTCATCGGAGTGGATCTCTCGCTACCGGCCGTAGTACGCTCCATGGCCGGTAGCGACAGTTGTTTTACCGCGGTCGCAACCTTCTGCGAGGTAGTAATCGGAGAAGGAGGCGGCGGAGAGGGCCCGGGAGGACGACCTCCACTCGGACCCGATCCGCCGCCGGCGAACCGGGCGGCGGAGGCCCGCCTATCACAGCCCACACACACAGGTATGTAGGTAAAACTTATTTTAAAATATCTTATGATAGTAAATGATTCAAATATTTTCTAAAGTTTACCTGTGTGTAACAGGTGTACGGAAGATACCAGTTTCTGAGGTAGGTGGTGGATGTATGCGGTCTAGTATCGCAGCAAGATGTGTGTGTCCAGCACGTCGTGCAGCAGTTGCAGCCGCCCGGGCGCCTGCCTCGCTCCTCGTGCCCGCGCTCCATCGCGCCAATACTACGGCGGTCTCGACGTGACCGGCCGCACTTGCTATCATCTGGAACATATCAGAGTTTTATTAACCCATTGCAGTGTTGTGCAGTGTTCTAAATTTAAAATATCTCTACTTCTACTTAACCTAAGATTTAATTTCTTGCTCTTCAAACAGCCTCGGAACTATGTGCTTTTATAGGTATGATCCTTGTTATAATTTACCAGTATTGAGTTATCATCCGCTCAGATTCGGTCCCCTTATCTTTACCCTAGAACTAGTTCATCTTAAGCACAGAATATACTTTAACTAGATCAGTCAGCCACTTGCATTATTTACCATGATCTGAGCTTCAATTGATTTTTCTGTGAACTGATCAGCAATATTGGTGAACCTTACCGTTCATGTTCATAACATCCACAAACTCTTACAATAACATTAATTGCGAGAAAATCGGGATGCCCCCTTATAGGTTCCCTTATTTTATCTTTAGACACGACTATCGTGTCTATTTCTTATTACTCCAAACAAAACCAAATAACTAATAGAATTTTGAAAGAAAAGTTGCCAAATGAATCTTGTTTCAAATTAAAGGTTACATTATCATGTTGTCAACAACGGCCATTGACATTGCATTCGTGTTCTACTGTCATACAACAATTCTTTTAAAGTTCTCTACATGTATATTTTGAAATATTATTCACTTACCAATGGAGTGCAATTGTCACTGTCTCTTGCACCTAAATTGACTTCTTTCTCTAAAGCCAAACTACTATCATCCTGTCTCCACCTCAAAAGCACAGTAGTAAGTTTCGCATATCCCAAAGCAGCTGCTAAATGCAGAATAGTAGATCCATCTTCTCCAGGTTCCGTAGTGAAACCTTCTGACATGCCTTTGGACCTGGAGCTCATGGTACGACAAAAAGTAACCAAACGCTCTTCAAATTTTGGATGAGAGTAGAGCTGGACATCCTCAATCTGAAATGAATACGATTTTGGATTAAATAATGATCCCTTCTAATGACTTCAATATCACAACTCAGCAAGACAATATGTTTTTACAATAATTTCCTATAACATTCATGAGAACATTTAATTTCTGATACATAACTTGAAGTGGAGTGGAGTTTATTGATCCACTGCAAGCTGAGGTTTCAACGGATCAATAAATTTTATTGTTGAAATTTTAAAGCAGAAACTTGAAACAAACTTATAAACATTATGCATATTATACAATTTAAGAAGATCAACTTAGGTTCAATTCCATTTTATTCAATATTGATTTAATTATTATTGTAAATAGTAACTTTTTAAGTAAATAAATAATCTATTTTTATTTATTATAAATTTTGCTTAGTTGCTTTTGTTCTTTTTTTTATTTGTGATTTTATATCCATTTGTTTATTTTGTATTTTTACTTGGAAAATATCATTGTATGAGTGTGTAGTTTAAATATAAGTAGTTGTCATATCTTATTTCGCTATGGTTTAGATATCATGACAAATTACTAGTAAATATTATTATATTTTCTTCTTTTTTTATTCTCTTAAAATATACCTGTACACATCACATCACATCAACAGCCTTTAATAGTCCACTGCTGGACATAAGCCTCTCCTTAGAAAGGAGGTTTATATACCTGTACAATTTATCCGAAGTATCCGTATTTAAATTCAGTTCATCTGTTTGGGTATCTGTGGAATGATTGATGTCATAATTTACCTGATTATTATCATCAGTGGGTTCAATCTTCATTTGTAAACGCCCTTGTAGTCGCTGCAAGCGCTGCAGAAGGGAAAATCTTCTTAAATCCAGTGATGGCAATGGTGCTGACGCAGGCGACGATGGAGTTGGTGCTGGACCAGCTTTGTACTCAAACACAACAGTGTCCGAGACTACGCGTCCACCTCGAGCTACTTGCAATGCAGCCAAGCCGGCTTCGTGGGCTGGAATTATGTATAAAATATTGATTAATGAAATTGTACATAACAATAAAAACGACTAGCCATAAAATATTTTTTAAAGTTTAATCTTCATCAAAATCTTTTATATTGTTGTTTAAAAATAATGTGAAAACATTTTCTTCGACTGATTATGTTTATTTTGATGAATTTGTTCTAAAAATTGGTAAGCTTATAGCAAAGTTTCGTAAATATAATCACAAAAAAAGAGTGTTTAATCAAGTATTATTCAACCAACCTGGACAATAGCATCTCAGAAGACCGTTTTGTACTAATATTGAAGGTACCGGAAAATTATCAAATAGAACAGTATACTGATCCGATGTGTCAGTCCAAGGTCCAGCTACCAACACTTTTGCTCCTCCTTCAGGATATGCCCATTCGGGAGAATAGTCTGTGATACTCAATGTTCCTTCATTGGTGGACTCCGTCTGCATTTTTTCATTGCTATCTTCAGTTGCTGGTAGTGACTTATCACATATAGTCTGGAAATTCGAGAAATAAAAACTCTATTTACTAAATATAGTAACTCTAAATAAGCTATGAAAATCACGAATCAATGTTAGAATCTCACCACAGGGTTTGTAGATATCGCGCTGGGATCCAGTACCTCTAGTTCAGGAAAATCCCCGAGCATATCAAAAGCATCCAAATTAACAAATACATTATCATCTACTCCATGCGTAGGAGACGCTACTGCCTCACAACTCTCTATAAAGTCCATAGTATCAATCCCTGAGACCATAACATTGGCGGTATCAGTAGATCTTACCCCATTTCTGTCTAACTCACAAGTTGGCATATTAGCCGATAAAGTTTTCTGAATATCTTCATGTGATAATTCAAGAGTCTCATCAAAGAATCCACTAGCAGCTAAATTGCCATCAGTACCAAGTAACACTAAAGTATCATCACAGTTATCGGTCAAAACTTTACTTTCTAATCTTTCTACTAAATCTGGGTACCTTGATGGAGTTGCTGGTGCACTTGCCACTACTTGATTTCTACACTTTGGTTCTATTTTAATTTTCCTATCAAAATTTATATCAATCTTTTCCTCTTTAGTTTCGATTTCAAATGTCGAGTCAGAGTTCTGAATACATGAAGATGGTTGACTGTCTGGAATTTCTCTTTTTAACACAAATGTTGGTTTATACTGTTGCCTGTACCTATCTCTGGGTTCTTCGCAGACAAATGACGTCACTGACAGTGGAGATACTAACGATGAACTTTGTTGAGTACCGTTGCTTGTACCGTTTAATATTAAAAGCCCACCACCTCCTTGAATTTGGCCTAAAGATAAAAGTAATGGTGATGCTGGCTGTGGTGTAGGTCTATGATCTCTGGTATACTGTCTTGGTGGGTGGGACATTGGTCGCGGTGAAGGGCCAGTTGTAGACGACACTTGGTGATCAGATGGAGGTGGTTTTGCGGCTTGAATTCTACGTAGCGGGTGGGCACAAGTTCTAGAATCTTGACAAGTAGAGTCTGGGCAGCCGCACTCCAGCTGCCTGGCTAAAGCTGCAGCTCTAGCCGCTCGTTGCTTTTCCATCAGCTGTCCAACAATGGCTTCCACAGTTTCCGTAGTCTGGAACATTTTCCCCTGAGATTTTACAATAGTGACAAAGTGTTCATTCAATTACACTATTTGTATAAACTTACCGTTATCTCGACGTCATTGTAGACATCAGGATCATCCTCGCTGAAGACTGAAAGCAATTTCGTTTTGGTTTAGTAATGTAAAAGTTAGCGCACCAAAAAAAAACTATTTTTATTTAAATTTGAAGTGAATTTGAAGAGTTTAATAAGCAATTCTACTGAAACCAAACACAGAAAATTCTAGAATTTTGAACTTTCACCCGAATGTAGTTCAGCAGATAACCTATTTAACAGTTTATTCGTTCTGAGCCTGTATTTAATCTCGAAATAATTTCAAGCAATAAATAACGTCTGTAATATTAATTTTCAATCCAAAATCAATAACAGGGAGCCCCTAAATTAACAGCAGCATCGTTATTCCGATCAGATAGGATTAATAACCACGATGCATAATTGATATTTGCCACAGTTTCATAAATATTCAACATCGAAACAGAAACTTTCAGCGTTCAAATTTGATTTCATTGTTTTATATTATTGAATTCTTTTAGACTGTAAATTTTTATAATTTCGTTCTAACAAACCTTAAATTGGTCATATGCTGTAACGTTGTGTTCGTTGTCTTCAAAGCCCTATAACTTTGTCTCATTTTGTAAAGATGGAAGCGCGAATTATCTTTCATACTTTAATTTTTTTACGCCAAAACCTTTCATTACGTACTTATCTGTAAAATTATTCAAATTTATGTTGATCCACAGTAAAGATGAAGGTACTTGCATCTTTCTCATTTAAAAATCTTATAATTTTATTCATAAGGTGTCCATTTGGATATAGCTAAATGAGCTATGTTACTTCGATAGAATTTGTTAAATCACTTCGTGTATTATATAAGCGTTCATGAAATATGAATTTTGTTAGAGAATTATTGTAAATAGAAACCTACGTAAAAGTTATTATAAAATACATTGTTTTTCATATACAAGTTAAATATTAGTCATATTCACAGACTCCTAATAATAATTATGCTTTTTCATTTCCTAATCAAGTTATGTGAACTGCCTAGTAGCATAAACAATTCTATAGGTTTCAATTCAATAGTGAATAAGTAATGTATTTTGAATACTATTTTAAATCGCGAAAATTAACTTAAAAATTACAGTTTGCTACTTTCTAACTTTTATTATCACTAGATGAGCAACACTTCAAACATGATCGGGTACTATCGCATTTTGAATAGGGAAAGTATATAATGAAAAAAAGTTAAAAGTACATACACATCGGTTTTAGTTGGCTGACCAGCTCATCTTTCGTCCATTCCTTCTTGTCGGCCCATAAGGCCAGGCTTGGTGCGACCGTCGCTAATTTGTTGTCATCGGGGTACGGCACATTCAGGTAATGTACTAACACGATGTCGGGGTTCTGTAATCCGCGAAATTTGTTCTGAATGAAAGGTAAAACTGTATGTTAGCATGTCGATTCTGAAGAAAGTTTAAAAATCATAAAATAAATATTTTTTAAACATTAAAATTGATGATTAAATTAATTTAAAATAAATGAAGTGACTTGCAGTAACAAGTCAATTTATGAAAAGTGATATTTGATCCATTGGTACAAGTTTTCTTATAAAATTGGCTGGGATGGTGTATCTGATTATGTAAAATTAAATAGTAGCACATCGCAATAGTATCGCATCACATCGGGTACCCTAAATATAATCTATAATTTGTGATAAATAATAATAACTTCAAACGTCTCACACACGGCACAAACTAGGCAGAGCTTGTGCTATGATAACCAGACTTTTGATAAACACACTTATATATTTCTAAATACATATTCACATAAACATACATACAGACCAAAAAGACTACGTATTAAACATCGGAAATATTAATTTATATCGTTGCTTTGCAAGTGTGTGTCAAATACCTTAATTTTAATTGGAATACAATTTAAAATAACATATATTCCTATACCGAACGCACTATTTTCATTCCTATTTTTTTTTTGTATAATTTATGTTATTATTATTGGTCGCGGAAAGCCAAGCCGGAAAGCCAGTGGACGTAATGATTATTAGACAATCGTGCTTATCATACAATATTTGTCCTGGGTGGGAATCGAATCCGAAAACTCTGGTATAAGAGTTAGGGTCGCTAATCACCAGACAAACAGGCCCCCAATATAAGTTTTTTTTGAGGTTGTAAGCATCGTCGCGCTTAACATACCGGAATAAAGTTAACAAACGGTTTCTCGCCTCAATTTTTAATTAATAGCACATTATTAAGTTAATTGTTAATTACTTAGCTACATTCAAATTTGGCCATCTGGCCAGCGTGGTATAGTAGGCCAAAACCTCCTTCCTAAGGAGAGGCCTATGTCCAGCAGTGGACTAGTAAAGGCTGTTGATGTGATGTGTGATGATTCAAATTTACTTGTCATGACAAAAATATTTGTAACTTTTCAAAAATAGGTTCTTAAATCTTTAAAACAAACTCAATCTATTACTGTGGTTTGTTTCTTCGTATTCTTGGTAACAAAATGAACTGATACTTGGTACCAATTACCAAGCAACACTTTCAGTGAAAAGCTTACGCATTAAAACTCAAGTTTGTTTAAAGGGTTATAAACGCAAAACGAATTTGTAAACGTTAAGTGATATGTGAAAATTTACAGCAACGACTATAAAACACATTATAAGGATGGGTTAACGAGGGCAGGAATGAAAGAAAAAGTACTGCACTCAGTAGTGCATAAACATAGCCCAACATCCGAAACTGCCTGTAAATCGACTCCAGCGCAGTTAAACTTCGTATAAAAATAAGTAATACACAATATTTTAATTTTACCAACCCGACTAGCGAATGTAAAACCGAGTGCGCTGTTATAACTATCCATTTGTCTTCAAAATGGTGGCAATAAACATGGCGTCATTATTTATGTAATGGCCGCCAAGTTAGGGTTGCCACTCGACACGTGTTTACTTTATTATTGTTGTGGTTTTTCATTAACACGGTGTTAAAATTTTGTATGTTGTAACAGTACTTCAGCGTATCGTTTTATATTTGTTACAATAAATTTTCAGCACAATTTTGGTGTTATTTGTGGTGCAATTTGATTGCTCAGTAAATTTACATTTTGTTTGCGGTATAATTTTCAATGTGTCTCATGGGCCGGTTAACACGGATTTTATTATTATACTGCATACTGTATTTAAATATCTATGTTTTTTTAAATATCATGTAAAGTATTTTATTTTTAAGAAGTGCTATCGTATGCTAATAGGTTTCTTACAATCCGATCCGAAATCAGCACTTACAATTACAAAATGAACTTTTCATGCGTAACGAAGATTTTACCTTTTATTTTTGACTCGGAGTAGTTTATAATGCTAATTCCATTACTCCATCTTTTTAAGGAAGGAATTTGATGCTGATCGATGAACAATCTTTTGTATAACTACATTCATATGTAGATGTTTTAGAAACTTGTTAGGTACAATATTTTTGGTAGTTAAATTCGACTTATGATAAAAAGTTTATTTTTAGTAAGTGTTTTGCGACAACCCTGATTTTTCTATGTCCCAAAGTCGAAAGTTAGTTGCAGCTCCACGAGCTTAGCACGATCTAACGGTCGGTCTGGCGACAGAAAATAAAACTACAATTTACTGTTTAATACAACACATACGAGGAAATATAATAAACATTTTGAATATGTACATTTCTAAAACAATTTAGATATAATCGAGCAAGGGGACATGAAAATTATAGGGGTGTGAAGACAATTACAAAACTTCATCGGAGCTTTTACAATGTTACTGAAGCACTAACGGAAGAATTTATTGTTTAAGAAGCAATAGAATTGAAATTAAATTGCTCGACACTCCAGAGGGTGATAAAGTTAGAAATATTTTCTGACTCTTCCAAGTTTCTGAATACAATGTAATAAATATCAGTAGTTTAAGTTCACTCTAAAGTTTTAAGTGTAATAAGAAATCAGTGAATTAAAACAAGTGCATCGCTGGTATTTATGGTACAGGGCTCTTAGAACTACGGTTTTAAACACATATCACGCAGCTAAGGATACAAATTTACAATATAGAATTTTTGATTAAACTTAGAGAATTAGTGCATTATGTGTGATGTTCGTGGAAAAACCAACTGATTTGGGGAATTAAACTAAATTTGTTCAACAATATTATAGTTGTGTATAACACCAGAATTATATTAATGTGTTCAGATTCCCTTGTTGTTGTTGATGTTAGAGTTTAGAATAGAATAGAAATTAACATCATTTTATACCAATTGACTTTTTACAATCAATGCATGTGGTAGATATGTAGAGGTACAACAAGCAACCATTTCACAGACAAACTTTTGCTAAATGCCTGTAAGCCCAACCTTTGCATACTAATTGAAAAGACAAAGACCACAATTTGAATAATTACGTTAATTTGAAGAAGCGAAGCTCACAATAGTTTTTTTCATTAAATGCTATAAAACACGCAAAAGAACCCAGAACTTTACTAACGTAAGTGTAAAGTCAATTCAACGAACTCAAACCCTCTTTATTTAAAAAAAAAATTAAAATTGTTTGAAATTGTTTTTATGTAGACTCTAAAGTCATCAACACACACAAAAGCAACAATTCTTGTTTTGTCAAATAGTAAGCAAATAAATTTGACAAAAATCAACCCATACAAAATCTATGATATGCCTGTGCCGATCTACAACCGCCCGTTTCCAAGGGGTTGAGCCTTATGAGAAGAAAGAGCAATTCAATTCACAAATAGATACAATGACACTATTAAATATACCAGAACATTGTTTTGATGTGTGCCAGTATGTCCGTTATTAAGGACTAAAAGGTAACAAATTACAAGGTAACGAATTGGACCTTTCTCCCTACAGCTAAAAAAAACATTACCAAATATAATAATAGTGTCAAACAAAATCAATTCATTCATTAAAACTTACACACGGGCAGGAGCAAAAATACTGTACCTTCTATTGTCTCCTAATAGTCTATTACTGCCTTTACTTAATCCCTCGTTAGCCTCCAAGCTCTTGAGACTTTAGCAGTTCAGCTACATAAACATCTTATATCTACTTAATTGTCTAGTTAAATATTAACTTCGTCTATTTGAAATGTTCTTGTTAGGATTTACCTGTAATTTGAAGCTGTCAATACAGAAATAGTAACTGCTATCTCTATCTTACAAATGTTTTTAATTTTAACGTAAATTAAAACTCAAAGACAGTAATAAAAAATAGATTATATTATTCCATCCATGCATCCACAATTACTTATACCGATGATTGGTAAAATATTATTATTTAATGAAATCTACTAGACATATATTTCTGTAAATCTTGACTCGTCCTGTCTTGTAAGAGCCTATGCGACCCACAAGTGGACTTCCTCATTGGCTGATATAATGGTTATCATAATATATGAAACGGCGATACGATATTTATGTCCAAGACATAATATTTAAACAAAACACTACAAAATATTATTTCTATTCACCATGAACCAAAGCCACCACACTAACGTATTTTGACAAAACAATTTACTAATAGGTCAATAGACATTGACACCTGTTACGTATAAAAGCAATCGTTGCAGTTACACCCAATCCGAAATTCAATTAACATCGGTATTTTCAATGCGGATTTGATGGCATTTTACCAAGTGCCATTTTGTAATCGTTGGTAGTGGTAGGTATATTTATTAGATAATGTCGTGCTTTGGGTTACTTGACAAAAGGAAACAATTAGGCATTGTTTTATGACATTTCTAACACTGATAATAGAGGGTTTTATATTACACTTTATATATAAATAAAGAAGTTAAACTTTAAAAAAAAAAGGTTGGGTTAAAGAGCTACACGATAGATCTCTAAAAAATAAATAAAGTCAAATAACCTATCGCAGTACACTAATAAACATAAGCAATGTGCACCAAAGCAACTGGTCACCGTTTTCTAGCATCCAGTTCATCCTAGCTACCTTCATATATTATGAGTTCATCTGGCTGTGGACATCCTACCATCCGTACATCAATTCGCGTAAGCGAATGTGAGCATTTCATTCGCCTCCGCCCTACGCTTCAGGAATACAGACGTACAGTATAGTGTAGATGTGTATGAAATAGGTGTACAGATTTTCCTCAATGTTTCTCTAAACTCTTACTGACGATGATTCTGAAAACTTTCCGCCACATTCTGTTTGGTGTTTTAAGTGAGCTTGTATGTTACGCATTCAAGCCTTATCTCATTGTTATCCTCGAAAACTTCTATTCCCACAAGCGAAGAGGCGGATAAAAGTTTGTCATTTAAACTTTTGCACTAACCGGTTTGACCAAAATTGTATATTTGGTCAAAACGGTTAGTGCATCATTATGGCTAAAATACCAAT